GAATAAGGTAGCCACCTCATGTTTGTTTTATGCATCATAGGCCTTTAAATTCCATATTTACCACTAGGGCATAAACAACACAAATAGACAACTAGTTATCAAATAAAAAGTAGCCAACAGAGGCTACAAATAGTGTTTGTTCCAATACCAAGTTCAGCCCAACAGCCAAGGGCTCAAATGTTCCCAAATCCTTGCCTATTGTTAGCCACCCTCCTAGGCAAACTACACCATCAAGGTTAGGTGTCAAAAGAACAAGCAGACTGCACAAAAGCTCCTGTTGTCAAAAGAAGAGAGAGTGGGTGAGGGGGTGGAGGAACTATACATCTCTACAGTCAACCCCCTCCTGGCCTTCTAGCCCTTCATGTGTAGTAGAACTACACATAGTAGTTTTTGGCCAGAAAGGTCCTAAGCCAAAGGGCCCTGTGGGCATCACTCATGTTCACAAAGCTCCTGCCTTGGGCCTTGTTGATCAGGAGGAAGGTGTAGGCAACAATAAGTGCCTCCTCACTGAAGCCAGGCATCTCCATCACAGTAAGGTACATATTGGCATCAACATGGGCAGGTCTAGTCTCCCTAAGAGCATTGGCCACATTGTTCACAGCATCTGACATGTTAGTCAACAAGAGCATCTCCTCCTCAGAGAAGTTCCCTCTCTTCCTCTTTGGGCCAGCAGCTGAGAAGGTAGGAAGCAGTTCAGTGGCCTTGCTATCCCCTCCCTGTTCACTGGGAACTGTGGTGTGGGTCAAAGGAGGACCATCAGCCTTGGCACCAACACTGTCAGCCTGGTTCTGCCCTAAGGCTTCACCAGACCCAAGTGCAAACTTGCCTGTGGCCATGGCATTAGCAAAGATAGCCTCCATCTCAATGTAGAACCTAATAGGGCAGTTAAGAAACTCTGCATCTTTAGGATGGTCCTGCAGGGTTGGGCAATTGTAGTTTAAGAAAGGCAAATGTAGATGGTCAAGGCAAAGACGAGATCAAATTGCTACCTTGCAGTGGCCAAGGTAGTGCTCTTGCTCAAGCATGATAGCATGAGCCTGGTCATCCCAAAGAGCACCACTAAGGTCCTTCAGCTTGCTCACCCTAGCCCATTTCTGCCTCCACTTCCTCAAGTGGTTGTACACTTGAGTTGGGCTAACAACCTCCCCACAGAACAGCTTGAGGGCTTTGGCCACAGAATTCACATCTTTGTCCTTGAAAACCTTGTCAGGCCTGCTACCATCACTAACAAGGGCAACCATCCTCCTTAGCACAAAGCCAGAGGTGGTGTTGGTCCACCTCATTGCCCTCACAGACCCATTCCCAACCACAGGAGCAGCAACATCAATAGTGTTTGCTGCATCTGGAGCAGCACCAGCACCAGCTACAACAGGGGCAGAACCACCATTGATGAGCTGCTCCATCACTGAAGTACCAGCAACAAACCCACCCTCAAATGCACCTGAATCCATCTTAGGGCTGGCATGTAATGAAATCAACAACATAATTAGTCAAGAACAGACTGACAACAATATTAACAGTTGCATAAATAAACAACAGACTGACAGATCATGAAGAACATAATGATTCAAGAACAGACTGACAGTAAGATTAACAACAACAGAATGAATGAAGCATAAAATTGGTCTCAGCTTTGTCCATCAAATTATTACATCACCATGACACACACATGAGTTCCATAGCAGGGTACAGAAGCTAAATTCAAGAACATATTACATCAAAATAGTGTTTGTTCCCCTCCCTTCCCACATAGCATTGCAAATGGCATCCCTTATTTTAGCCATGTCAATAGATTCTTGGTCCATATGGGCTGGGGGCAGGTTGGTTGGATCAGCAGAAGCAGTGAAACCTTCCTCATCAGGCACTACTTCATCAATGCCAAAACCTAGGATCCAGTTGTGCAAAATGGCACAGGCAACTACAAGCTTCACTTGTGTCCTATACTTGTGGAAGAGTTTGTTGTCCAAGATCCTAAACCTGCCCTTCAGTGCACCTATAGCCCTCTCCACAGTCACTCTAAGTGATGAGTGCCTAAGGTTGTAGAGCTCCCTTGCATTGGTGGGCCTGTTCATTGGGTCATACTCAGACAAATGGTACCTAACCCCCCTGTAGGGAGGTAGGAAACTATTTTTGCATGCATACCTAGCATCTACCAAGAACATTTTATCTACACAAGACATCTACTGTGAGAGTGTGTGTTAATAGGCCATGGAATATATAATTAGTGTTGGTGTGCAATTACCTTCTGGCAAACTCAAGCCATCTTCCCTGGCTACAGCATCTACTAAAACAGTTGCATCATGGGCAGAGCCCTCCCAGCCAGCCAGGACATAAGTGAATTTCAGATCACAATTCACAGCTACCATCACATTTTAGGTGGGATCCTTTTTCCTACCCCTGAAAGCTTGTTGCATACGCCTAGGAACCCTTGCTAGGAAATGAGTGTCATCTATAAAGCCAATGACATCCTAAAAAGCATGGGTCAGTCATTGCAACAGGTCTAATGTAACTAATGAACCCAGGGTATACAATTACCTTAAAATATGGATTCCATGTATGGCTTCCAAGAATCTTTGGGTGAGTGGTAGTGCTAGCTGGCTTTATCATTTCATTCCTAAGCTCACCCACAACATACAACACCGATGGAAGTGCTTGTGGGACGCTTTGATGGACCTCCTAAAGGACTTGTGGACAACCCTAAATCTTTGGTTGTGCCCTACAACATGTAAAAACATGGCAACCTGCTCTTCTACTAACACCCCCTCCCTATCAGTGACAAGACTCCTCTCTCTAAAAGTTTTCACTAACTTAAAAAAAACAGGTCTCTTCATCCTAATCATAGAAATACACTCTGAATCAGTGGAGTTGTATATCATTCTCGATGTTCTCTGTCTGTCTTTGTTCATTTTTATCCCTAATTAGGACCAAGTGCTATAGGATCAGAGCGGTGGGGTTTGAGTTCGTGGTTTTCCTTTTCACCCTAGTGGATACAAAGGAAACCATAACAACGATCAAGGCAGCTGCCTTACTACACAGCATGTCACGGCTCAAAGATGATCCATCTATAAGCATGTAAAAATGTAACATGATTTCAACTTAATGTACCTCTGCTAGGCATCAACATGAATGTGATATGAATGCATATGAATAAAAGCACTACAGATCTTGTATGTGATGCCTCCCGATTACTAAATTTGGACAACATCATCGACCAATGATGGAACAAAAACTTCGAGCAATAGTAATCGAAATGATCAACATCCCTAACGGATCAAGAACAAAGAAGGTACAAGTAACACTAACAAATTGCATCAAACAGCTATGAACAAAGAAGGTACAATACTAATCTCAAACAGATCAACAACCCTAACAGATCACGATCCCAACAGATAAAGAACAAAGAAGGTACAAATAACCCTAATAGGAGCATGAAGCGCTTATAACAAGTATGAAACCCTAACGGATCATGAACAAAGAACGAACAAAAACCCTAAGAACTTCAAGAAGCACCAAAAAAAGATTGGGGTCGATTTCACCTTGGCTCGGGGTCCAAACAACGGAGAGGAGGCGATATGGAAGTAGAGGATGCAGATTGGGAAGAAGACGGCAGACAAGTGACGGAGAAGAAGAGGAACACCGCCGCCACGGAGTCCCAAAGAGAGAGCGGGACGGCGGGCGGCGAAGAACCTCCTGCGCCGGTGGCCAACCCACAACCAGTCGGAGGTCGCCGCCGCCGCCACGCACCACCACTCGCCGCCGGTCTCTCACGAGGGAGGTGGAAGAGCAAGCACCGAGTGGAAGAAGAAGAGAGTGGAGAGTGGGAACCGTATATAAAGGCCGGCGAAATCGCCGCTATTTCGCGCTTTCAGGCTGGGCGGCCAGAGCGGAGGCGGGGAGCAGGACGTCTTGCTTGAAGTTTCCCCACCGCTGCCAGAGCCCGCACGAGCCACCCCGCCGCCGCCCAAAATCGCCTGCGTGCGCCGCCACGAGCTCAGCTCCATCCCTCGTTTTCATAGGGCTAGGCGGAGAGAGCGTTTTTTGCTCTGGGAAGCCAGGCTCGCTCGCGGAGCACGACCATAAATATGGCAAGTTGTAGTCCACGGGCGCAGCCGGACCTCCGGGTCAGGGTCGCAAACGCGCCACAAAGTGCCAGCAGATTCCCCAGATTCGGTTCGGCGGTTCATTCTCAAAGACTGCCCACTCCACCACCTCACCTCACCTGCGAAAGCCCGAGATCCTTCGTCCCCTGCACCTGCTCTCTCTCTCTCTCGCGTTTCTCCCGTCTCTCGCGCCTCTCCCGTGCCACTCACTAGTGGCGACGACTGGGCGACCGCCGCCGCCGCCCGCTAGGAGCCACCAGGTACGCCCGCCCACCCTGCCTCTTCCGTTCCTGCTGAGCGAAACCGAGCGCTCAGCAAACCCTAGCTCAAGCGATTCGGATTCGGATCTGATCCGATCCCACTGCAAGTGGATTATCTATCCCTACAGGCTACCGACCTGGGTTATTTACCGGGTCCGCCCCTCCTGCTATATCCGGCCTGTACTGTGTAAATCCGTTCACTCTCAATGTGGTATAATTTTGATTCGTCGTAATTGCTTAGCCTATGTTATCTTGCCCTTGTGGACATGATTCATTTTGTACTTAATTGTCTTGTCCTCCGATACATTTTGTTATTTATATTTTGGGCGAAATTTAAATATCTCTCTCTATATTTATATGTATATACACTTATCATCAGTGCATCACCTTTCGGTGAAACATATGTTCTCGCTGATATTGTCTTACAAATATCCACATTTACAACATTTGAACCCCTTTATATTGATGTCATGCATTTTATTGTTTTTTTGTTTCCATTTTCTGTCTTTTGTATAATTGCCTAATTATTTTGGTCCCAATTTTTACTGTAGATATGAGCAGCTGACAACTCGACTCTGAGGCCATTATTTGATACCCCAGGAGAAGTGCACCGATTACCTGGCCATTTTACCTTGTTGAGATGGCTACACAGTTGCCGTGCTTCACACAGCTCAGTCCACCGTCTTCTACGTGGATAAAAGATGTTGGGAACTGCAAGGCTGCGCCTGGTAGGGTGGTCAGAAGTGCTCGAGCTATGGGCCACTGTCACTTCCGGTGCTGTGCAAGCCCCCGTAGTGCCAACTCTTTCAAGAAGAAAGACTCTTTCCTTGAACTTCATCCGGAGGTATCTCTGCTCCGTGGCGAGAAGAGTGTTGAGGTTGAGCCAATGAAAGGTTCCTCTGATGGGAGTCTGTTAGAGGGTCCGGGGCACCGCCGGACCGGAATGATTATAACGAGGCTAAGATCAAGGTAGTTGGAGTAGGAGGTGGGGGATCGAATGCAGTCAATCGGATGATTGAGAGCTCCATGAACGGCGTTGAGTTTTGGATCGTGAACACTGATGTGCAGGCCATAAGAATGTCTCCTGTGCTCCCCCACAATAGACTGCAGATTGGTCAGGAGTTGACTCGAGGCCTGGGCGCTGGGGGAAACCCTGATATTGGGATGAATGCGGCAAAGGAGAGCAGCGAGTCCATTCAGGAAGCTCTTTTTGGTGCTGACATGGTTTTTGTGACGGTGAAATTCTAACTGATAGTTGGCTTCACATGTGAAATCATTAGGCACCGAGTTTTGACAATGCTGTTTTGATCCATACTGCAGGCTGGAATGGGTGGAGGAACTGGAACTGGAGGTGCTCCTGTAATTGCTGGTATCGCCAAGTCCATGGGTATACTTACCGTTGGCATTGTCACAACGCCTTTCTCGTTCGAGGGGAGGAGACGGGCAGTTCAAGCTCAGGAAGGAATAGCAGCACTGAGAAATAGTGTGGACACCCTAATTGTCATCCCAAATGATAAGCTATTGTCTGCTGTTTCTCCAAATACACCTGTAACTGAAGCATTTAATCTGGCTGATGATATTCTTCGCCAAGGCATTCGTGGCATATCTGATATAATTATGGTAAATATGGTGATGATATTCAGTTTTAAATCACCAAGTTACACAAGTGAAATTCAAGATATTATATTTGAGCATTTCAGAGATATTTAATTTACAAAAGGTTAACTACCTCTTCTCCTTTTTCAGGTTCCTGGATTGGTTAATGTTGATTTTGCTGATGTGCGTGCTATCGTGCAAAATGCAGGGTCATCTTTGATGGGTATAGGGACTGCTACAGGTATTACATTAGGAATAAGCTTTTATTTTATTAGTACCGTATGATCTAACTCCATTCATTCTGCAAGCTAGAATTTAGTTTTATTTACCCTGTTCGTTGGCAAAATTTCTGATACAATAAGGTAGGAGAAGCACTGCTAGAGAAAGAAGTTGGTTGGTATAGTTTGGTGTTGAACAGAGTAAAGAGTATGTAGGACCTCGTAAGAGCACTTCATATGCTATCATAACTTGAATCTTTTAGGTTTGGTATAGCTTCCAAATTTTATTTTCCCTTTGGCATCAACTAAACAGCATTGAATGTTTCCTCCCACTTGCAGTTACTGTCAGCTAATATGCAAAGTTAATTGCCTGGATATTGCTACTGAAAGATTTCATGAGAACCACTTTGATATTTGTATGAAAATATGTCTATTGATGATAATTGTCATGTTGAGGGCAATGATTTAAGTTTAGGTTGTTTGGCACTACACTGTACAATTTTTGTACTTATATACATGCAGATGTCATTTATGACGGTTGAATTATACTGTAAGCTTATGTTTCATGTCACTCAATTTTTTCAGGAAAGTCAAGAGCAAGGGATGCTGCTCTTAATGCCATCCAGTCGCCACTGCTTGATATTGGAATTGAAAGAGCTACGGGCATTGTGTGGAATATCACTGGGGGAACTGACCTGACTTTGTTTGAGGTTTGGTCCAGCCATTTTCTAGTCTTGTCCTCACAGTGTAGATTGTTTTCTGACTTGAATTTTGTTAACCTGTGTAGTCCCCATACATCTAGCTAACATGACAAAATTGAGCATGCTTTGCATTTGACTTTGCTTGCCCTTTCATGTTTCAAAAGACTGGAAAAAAAAATTCATGATCAACTCCTATGGTCATGGTCTCTATTATGTTTTATATGCACAGATTAAGAAATCACAGCTACTTGTATTTTTGTTGTTTCAGGTAAATGCTGCGGCCGAAATTATCTACGACCTTGTTGATCCAAATGCTAATCTGATATTTGGCGCTGTCATAGACCCGTCACTGAGTGGGCAAGTAAGTCTTCAGTTTGTTTCAGTATAGTATACCCAATATGCAAAAAACAACTCCTATATCTTGGGATTTCATGGAAAATGCTCTCAGTTCTGGGAAATGAGAAATGAGATTTACTTCGTCATTTGGGGTTTGTTGGAAAAAATTCTTATTCACATAGTTTTGTCCATGCAGGTGAGCATAACCTTGATAGCTACTGGCTTCAAACGGCAGGATGAACCAGAAGGTCGCGCTTCTAAGGTAACTCTCGTCGAACAATTACTAGGGCCCCCTAACTTGGATGTCATGACCTGTTCTCACATTTGCTTGCAACCAAAGGGTGGCCAGCAAGGTGAGAATGGCCGACGCCTGTCCTCCGGAGAAGGCAGCATGGTGGAGATCCCAGAGTTCCTTCGACGAAGAGGACCTTCTCGCTTCCCTCGAGTTTGACTGTCCAGCCATGCTCCCTGCTCCTGCCTGCCCTGCACCTGTATAATATGCCCCACTCTTAGGTCAGAATTAGATGTTCTTGTATGGCACCAAGCCTTCTGTAGGCATCGTCTCTAGCAGTTCTTTCTAGTTTTGTTTTGCCATAATTTTTTCTCCCGCTGATTCTTACGATGAATAATGTGTAGCTGCTGTGAGCTCTCTAGTGCTATATATAGTCCATAGAGAATGTGTTTTTCCCTCCATTGCCTGTTACACTGGATCTGAATGGATGATACAGTGCGGCTGGTCCTGTGACCTGTCGACATGGTCGCTGAAGTGAAGATTGCCTGCTTGGCTGTGTTTTCTTGGCTCTGTGACTGCCTATGTTGGGGATTCGGTGCCACACGACACTGTAAATTTGTAATGTGACATGTCAGGCCTTAACCGTCGCAGTCCAATCAAACGGTTCAAATTATCAATTGCACCCTGTGTCCCAATCGCAAGAATAAGTGTTATTCTAGCTATGAATCATCCATCTCTACTTTGTCAGCGGTCATGTTTGACCAAGTCGAGAGAGATTGACAAGGGAGGGGAACATCAGAACATCACATCTGAATCAGTACAGTGCTCTGACGCTAGAGGCAGTTCAGTTTATTTCAGTCACGTTCATGCTTGTGAGATCCGATCTGTAGTAGTTGCATAAATGGCCTGATTGGCAGGTAATCCCTCCATTCCTAATCCTACCCACGTTTACCAAGATCCGATCTTAGTAGCAAGAATTTGGAATGGAATGGAGGGAGTAACATTTATCTAACGTTTACGAAGAAATAAGTAAAGTTTAAACAGGACTATTGTAAAAATGTATTTATTTGAATAGCAGACATTCCTAATCCTAGCTCTTCTTCCAATCCTGACCAGGAAGTCAGGCAAACGTAAAGCAGACTCGTGTCATTAGCAGAGTACAGCATGTACACGGTGTGTTAATCTCGTTTGTTTAGCAAATCATAGGTCTGCACTGCATGTTTCCTGTGCATGATGTGCTTCATAACTTCATAGGAGGAGACGACGATGCCCACCGACGGGCCTGCGCGCGCCATTCGAGGGCCTGCACCTCTGAACAGACCTTCCAGACCTTCCTTCCTGCAACGGTATACAAAGTGTTATTCGCATTTGTTTGTGCAGTAATTCTGGAAGAACTAAAGCTGGAGATCTACAGAGTTGTCAGACAGAGAATACGCTTGCACTTGAAATGCCTGCCTAGCAAGATACTTATGTTCATGATATGATTCAGCTTTGCACCACCCAGCGATACCATGACAACAATGGCACTGACTTGCAACCAAACTAGGACTTGAGAATTTATTTGCAAACCAAGATCTTAGTTAAACTTTTCTTATGAACAGATCCCTGTCAATCTTCTACAGGGGGCAACTGAATGTGTGTCGCTGCTAACAGAAAATAAAAAAGGTTGGGTAGATACCTCCAAACCTCAAGCAACACGTGCCTTGTGTTCATGCTTAATACCCTTTCAGGATCCTTCTGTCATCAGAATGCAGGATTCATCGAATCGGTAAGTTGTTGTCACTAGCTGACTCCAAGTTACTTAGAATGCAAAGACAAACCAAACAAGTAAGTAGAAGATGTCAGAAAAAACTGAACATGGAATAGAGAGAACTAGCCCAAATCCCTGCACTTGCCTCTATTTGTCTGCGTGTCTTGGCAACATCAAGAGGGCAGGTAGCACCAGCAGAGATAACCCCAGCAATGAAGCCCGCAGAAAAGTTTGCCCCCAATATTACTGCTGCATTGCTTTGATCACTGAATAGTCGCGTCACATGTCTTCTAATCTGTACAAGTAGCATTTGGAAGATGAAAATTAAGGTTGTCACAACAAGCCATATATTCTTTTTCTCAAACAGTTCCAACAGGTCTTGCTAAGTCTGAAACTTTCTTAAGCCAAGGTATAGCATAGAAAACTTAAGTAGAGTAGTAGCTCACTGGTTCAAGAACTGTCCAACATATAGCTGAGTAGGGGGCATCGCGTGCTAGTTGTGCTCCCAGACCAGTCCATAGGAGGTGGTATCCTCGAACTATTTTCAATTTCCAAAGAACATAGCTCAATATTCACGATAAATGAAAACAAATGCTGCAATTCATTCAAAGTTTCATATGTATGCATTTGTGCAGACAATGCGGTCCATGTGAGTCAAGTTTCAATGAATCGTGTTTGCATCTTTTAAATATCATGACAATAACTGTATGCATTGTCAATTGCAACTAAAAAACAGTGGAGTAGCATGGTACATACCGTTTTCAGGGCTCCTGATGTTTTGTCTCGATGAAAGCACACCTATCAAGGTCTTCCACATTCCAGGGGGCTTCCCTCCAACATTTGATGCTTTGAAGGCCTAAATTAAAAAACAAGCAAACATTTCTATACAGAATGGGAGGCAAAAATATGTTCTACCCAGATAAGGCATTATTAACTGAAGTATATTGTCAACTTAGGATTTGAGTTCTTTCCTTGGCTATTAAGAACAGAAGTGAGGTGTTATTTTAACTTGAATGCTAATAGACAACCATGCAAGAAAGTCCAAGATGCTGACCAGCATACGTGTTCTTGCTAACTCAATAGGGGAACAAGCTATGCATGCCAATGATCGTGCAATAGAGCCAGAAATAAGAGGAGCATATAGTCTAAGCTTGGGACAATTGCGGTCTGAGTATTCTTCAATCCGATTGCGCAATAAATCGTAACAAGGCATATATATTCCAACCTGAAGGAGCAAACATAAAATAAAATAAGCTATTACGGCGTGCCTACTAAAAACACATATGGATACTTCAAAATATGAAAACAAATCTGTGATGTTTACTTTACTAGAGTACAAGTCAAATAGGACATGGAGAGAGACAAAATATTCATGAATCAGGATCGCTGGAAGTGTGGTTAAATGAAGTTCCAGATGCAATACATGTGCTGATACAATATGCATCACTGCCTGGTATGTTGTAATATATTACATTGATATTACAGGGTAAAAACATGATCAGCTGAAAGAATTTACCATTGGTACAGCCAATGCCAGGTTTGCACCTGTACCTCTCCATAGTCTAAAAATTCCTTCCTGCAGATATACTAATTTAATAGGTGATAGATAGAAAAGAGAAGAGCACAATGAAGAGATATGCTCAATAAGAACTTGCCTGTCTAGTGACTTTAGAAAACACGTCCATAGTTCCTCTGTACTGAAAGCATTCAGGACTGGACGGGCCTAACCATTGATTCCCCAGTGCTGCATGATGGGTTGCACCTAAAATCTGACCATATCTGAGCAATTTATTTTAGAGAAAATAAATATTTGCACGTGCACAATTCATCTGGCAGATGATTTTCTGGAACACACTCGACAGAATTATTTGAACTACAAGAATCGATAGAAAAGTGATTTCTCTGTACTGTTCAAAACCTGCAATATTGTTGAATGGATCCAAAGAGATTCTCTATATGATTTCAGCTTACAACTACGTAGTATAGTTTCACCCTATTATTTTTTTTTAAGAGAAGGCACTGGAAAGTTTCGCATTGGAAGCACTAGTATCATCCATTGAATTGTGAGCCACGCTTACCGGGCTATAAACCACTCCAGCAGCTTGTGCTTGCAACCTCGTCTGCAAGAGGAAACGAGGACCGAATGGACATCAGTATCCGTACACATTCCAAGCCCATAAGCAAAATAGCAGAAGCAGCCTGAAGATCTCTCCGCGAGAGGTAGTAGGTTCCAATCCACTCAATTCAGTGACGAATCATGTGGGCAAAGATGAATAATTTGTCACTCACCCGACAAGATTCTCTTCTCTAGAAGAGATAGAGGCAACGAGGGGATCACCGGCGTACCTTGGCGACGTCGAGGGGGTTGACGAGGACGGCGGATACGACGGCGGCGCCGGCCGCCGCCACGGCCCGCTCGGTGAAGCCGATGTCGCGTTCCGTCGCAGGCGGTGGCGGCGGCGCCGCCGCCGGGGTCCCTTGGCCTTGCTCCATGGCTGGCCGGCCGCGGTGAGAGCGGAGGCGGGGGAAGGGACCGCGAGGCCGGGGCCGGAGGGAGGAAGGGCGCAGAAATAGCGGAGAAATTCGAGAGGGCGGGGAAGAAGGAAACCGAAGAAGATGGTGGACCGCTCCACTCGACACGGCGCCTCCGGAGAGAGAGCGACGGCGTGCTGCTTCTCTGCGTCGGCGTGTACTGCTGTGCTGTGACCTAGTAGGAGAGATGACGTGGCTTTGCTTGGAACCCGGACCAGGAATATATACTTGCCATTGCCAGAGAGGGTAGGAGCTGAGCCGAGGTAGCAACAGCGAGCAGAGCACACTGCACACACAGCTTCAGATCAGAGCTTCTAAAAGAAAACATCTCTGCCCTCTGATCTCTGAACGCAAGAGAGGCACCATACCAAAAACCTGTTCTTGCTATCTGGGGACAATGGTGATGGAAACTGAGTTATTATTATAGTGCCACATCACATTTGCTCTTCATGCAAGCAGTACGCATTGGGCCAGCATAACATTCATCAGTCAAGCAACAGCACAGCAAAATGCCCGAAAACCTTGAATGCATGGTGCTGCACTGCTGCTCTTCTTATTAAAATAGCAATCATGAACTGCTCAAAATGTGTCATTTGAGTGGATAACGTTTCTGTTCAACACATTGGCTAGTTGTGCCACAAGTACATCTGGCATGGATTCAAAAGGACATATCTCACGCTACATTAACATCCTTAATCTTACCAATCGCGCCAGATCACAGAACTCCTAAGAGATGATAGTAGATTCCTAAACATAGAGAGATTTCTCCTTGCCGAATGCTCAGGGCTTCGGGTCGCTCTTTGGAGCTTCAGTGGATGTGGTGGAGCTTGGTTCCGCCAGCGAAAACTTCTTCACCCTCTGCATTCCGACAACAGAGCAAAGGATGTAATGAATCTCATCAGCTCTTCTTACGAGCAACAGGGAGGAGAGCCAGCTTCAAAAAAAAAAAATCTATACTATAAAGGACAGATTTTATAGAATAGGATTAGTTTGCATATACTCTAACAGAAACAAACAGCAACAAAGTAGTTTCAGCTTCTGAATGAATTATCTGGTTGCAACTAAAATAACATTAGGCATTACCTGTTCCATATTTCTTCTAAGAACAGATAGATATCTGCAGGGCCCAGCCATATATATTTTTTAGGAGTCACTAAGGGCACAGCCCCACAATCATTTGTCGACCAAATTCAAGCATGCTACTACTCAGAATCAACTACCAAGTACCAACTGCCCTAGGGGCAATTATCTTGTCCAGTTACATTTTGGATATTGACTTCGACATGATCATCAGGGAAAATAACCGGAAAACAGATGTCAACAAGACACTGGCACTTGTAAGGGGCCAACTTTAGTAAATATTACAAATCATCAAAGGGAATAAACTCTAAGCAGAACCCTCATGAAGTAAACTCTAAACTAAGTAGAAATAACTGGCTATCTAAATGGACAAAAAGACTGTGACTAGCTAAAGCTTCAATTAGCATGGCAGCATGGGTCACCATATTTTCTATCAAGAAATATTGAGCACAAAAATGTTAATCCACTTAGCCAACATACTTGGAAGTCATGTCATTCCATTCAGAAAAGAAAAAGAGTTTGAGGTCGTTAACTGACTGCTCACTGTATTACCACCTACAAATAGATTGAACATATCTCCCCACTAACAACACAAGCTAAGATCACAGAATACGTCACATTTTGGGAAAAACTTCAGTTTGACCAGACAGTAGAGGATGAGGTTAGATAGAGGTGGACTGCAGATGGAGAATACGTTACACAGAGTGCTTATAAAATTCAATTTGAAGGACCTACAGTAAAATCAAAATCAAGCCGATGTGGAAAGCCAAAACAGATCCAAAATGTTGGTTCTTCGCTTGGACATTACTCCACAAAAGGATCCTCATGGCCAACAATCTAAGCAAGCGGGGATGGCCCAATGATGCGATCTGTAAGCTTTGCAGATCTAACCCGGAAACTCCAACTCACCTTTGTAAAGATTGCCCTTTTACAAAAGAGGCATGGGCATTTATTAAACAGTGGTTTTGTTTTTTCTAATCTCAACACGGTCTACATGACAGGTCCCCTCCATAAGTTTTGGCATAAATGTCAGATCGAGTTTGACAAAAATCAGGGAAGATATTTTGATGGCATTATAATCTACTTCTGGTGGAACATTTGGAAAGAGCGAAATAGGAGAACGTTTCAACAAAAGGATTTGCAACCAAGACAAGTCACAATGCTATGCAAAGATGACACCAACATTTTCATTTGGCCATTGCACCCAAATCAAGACTCAAATTAGTGGGCTAGTCGTTTGGTTTTCTCTGTTTCCTGGAGTCGTGTTTCCAGTCGCTAGTAGGCCCGGGGTCTCTCGCCAAGTCCTTTTTTCCTTGTCTTCTTTCGGGCTTTTTAGAGTTTTGTTTATAAGGTGAGTTCTAGGGACTTGGCAAACCCTCATGTTCTCTGTTTTGTCTTTCTATCATCTAATAAACTTGCAGCAAATCTCTTGCTGTTCCTTCGGGGGGAAAAAAACTATATTACCACCTTCTTGTTTAAAGATGCCAGTAAGTGCTTCATAGGTGCAGACGGACAAAACCAGCTAGGAAAATTAGTAGCTCACTTCTCATTCGTAGAGTAGATCCTCTTCAGTAGTCAGCAATGCTCATATACTTGCCCAAACTCTATCTAGCAACTCTATCCTAGCAGGTAGCAGCAATGCTGAAAGATGCTAAAAGGAGGATGTACTCCTAAACTGTAAGCGTCTCGTCGAATATGCATCTCTCTCTAAAATGCAGAAAACAGCCGCTCAAAACAATTAATAATTAAAGGAAAGCTGAACAGTATAATTGAGGATAATGTTTTGAGGAAAGGGGCTTGGGGGAGGAAGTAAGGTGAGGCAGATGAAGAGCACCTTGTGCACGATGCATTCACGGAGGGCGTCGACGAGGGCGAGGCACCTATCCCGGTCGTAGGGGACCGAGGCGACGCAGTTGAGCAGCGCCAGCGACTCCTGCGCGCAGACCGGCTGCGGCGTCGTCGTCGTCTTCTCCATGCCGATCCAAACAGGATGAGGCTTTGCCTAAGCCAGAGAGAGGGAGAGGGAGAGGGAGAGGGAGCGCAGGCCGCTACCGTGCCGCGAGGCCTTTAAGCGCCGGCGGCGCGGCTTGGACGAGAAGAAAGAAAACCAGCGGCGGCCGGCGGCCGTTGATGGAATCGCAGCTGGAAAGCTCTCGAGCCGTCTTGCTCCAAGAAGCTGCTCCTCTCTCCTCTTCTCGTTAGCAAATGCGTCCGGGCCGGCACGGCTCGGCCTGGCCCATCCCAGCTGGGTTCGACTTCGGCTCGGCTTGTGGGCTTTCGGACAAGCCCGCCGGCCTCGGGTACGTCAAGCTCGGGGTCGCGGAGACCCTAGGAGCCTGCACGCCATCCGCAACGCGCTCGAGGACCTCGAGGACCATTTCGAGTGCTTTCTCGTGAGCCCCCTGAACTTCCCTCTTCCACTCCTGGCTCCTGGGCAATCTGTCAGGTCTTGCTCCTGCTATCTGAACTTCTGTGTTCGATGCGAGTTGCGAATTTGTTCACGTGTTGTTTAGGTCTTTTAGGACTTAGGATTTTAGGCCGTAGCCTTAATTAAGGCCTGCTGGGTTGGCTTAATTCTTGCCCGACCAAAATTGTGACGAGCCAAAAATTTTAGTCATTAATTGATTCATCCGTTCTAAAAAATTGGTACATCAATATTTATGACCAAAGTTTCAGTAAATCTCTACAAACTTGTTAAATTACATAAAAAATATGCTTTCTGCTATTGTCAGAGCATCTCCAGCAGTCCCCTAATCCCACCTCTCATCCCATAAAATTATCATATTGGAGAAGATGGCTCACTTTTTCTTCTCCAGCGAGTCCCTAATAGCCTCTTTTTTGTGGCCACCAAAAAAACACTCCTTCGTCCCTCAAATGAAGGGGGAGTTGCATCTCGCCCAATATGGTGGGGGCCATCATAACTTCTCACCACCGACCAATACCATGGCTGCAAGCTCGCGTTTGCGGCCAAAGAGAGGACATGCCAAGGTGAATGTGGCGGAGAGGAGTTCGCGTTCATGGGCGGAGGACAACGAAGATCTAGAGGAGCTCGCCTAGATCCACAGCGGAGAGGAGCTTGCCTAGATCCAGAGGACGGCGCAACCGTTGCGAAGGTGGAGACCGCGACCGGTGGTGGAGGTGGCGGAGATGTCCAAGGCGGAGGTGGCTGGGCGCATAGGTGGCCGGAGCCGTGGCCGCGGTTGGTCGCGAGACCTCCACACCTCCTCCTCCTCCTCCTAGGGATAAAAGCTCTAATTTAGTTTTGGTGAATTGATAAAATCCTATGTGCTAACCTTTACTCTAAGTGATCATGAGATAGGTTAGTACACATTTCAAGTGGAGGAGCAAATGGATGAAGATCATGAAGATGGTGGTGATGGCCAAGTGGAGGAGCAAATGGATGAAGATCAAGAAGAAGAAAGAGAAAAACAAAAAGTTCAAGGCAAAGGTATATTTGATAAGAGCTCTTTGTTTTGGTGATCAAGACACCTAGTGGGTGTGATCACATTTAGGATAGATAGCAGCACTATTAAGAGGGGTGAAACTCATCGTGAAATACGGTTATCAAAGTACCACTAGATATTCTAATTCATTGTATATGCATTTAGATTCTAGTGAGTGCTAACACCCTTAAAATTGGCTTAGAATGTTGCTAACTCACGTACATATGTGGTGGAATACTTGGAGTTGGCACACATGCATAAGGGTGAACTGATCGCGCTTGTCTCGAGTGAAAATAGGGCGTTAGACCCTAGTTTTCCAGGCGTGGGACCAGGCTCTCCCTGGGTCCGACGACTAACCCTAGCGCGCATAGAAGTGAACAGAGCGTCGGACGGAACGGGCGCACTATTCCTCCACGCGGGAAAGAGCACAGCGCACGAAGGTGCGACATGTGGCGACATCGGACCGTGAGCTGAGTCTGACGGTGAGCGTCGGACCTGAATCCAACGGTTTTTCATGTTTTGGACTCTCTCTGCATAGATTTCGCGGGCGTCGGACTCAGGGCGTTGGACGGTCCGACATTGGGTCCGACGGTGGTGATCAACGCGTGGTAGAGGACCGTTGGCGGCAACGATCGATTTCATTTGAATGGGACGTGTGGCAGCACGTGAGTAGATGCGAGAGGGCATCGGACGTAGCGTCGGACAGTCCGACGGCCCGTGTCTATGCGGATCCGACGGTCACTTAAGTGCCCCAACGGCTATTTGCTCTTTAGGGTGTCTATTTAAGTGAAAGGGCCGGCCTTGGATGCCCCCTCTGGCACCTTGACATACTTTTCATCCCTTAGAGCTGAGCTACTCCTCTCCATCCACTCCTACTTGAATGATTCATCATTTGGTGAGATTAGAGAGCATACAAGTGCACTGCTTTGAGTGCTTGCATCTAGAGGCACTTGGGATTGTGTTTCATTGCGGATTTCGCTTGTTACTCTTGGTGGTTGCCACCACCTAGATGGCTTGGTGCAGTGAGGATCGTTGAGCGGAGGAAGGTGATTGTCTCCGGCTCCGATTGTGGTGATTGTGAGAGGTTCTTGACCTTTTCCTGGCGGAGAGCCAAAAGGTACTCTAGTGAATTGCTCGTAGCTTGTGGATCCCCATCTTGTGTTGGTTGTGTAGCACCCGATTACGGGTTAGACGTGTGATGTCTATTAGCATGTGAACCTCCAAGTGGGTGAATCGCTACACCAGGGACTAGCTTGCTAGCAAGCAAGTGAACCTCTAGTGAAAAATCATTGTGTCATCTTGTCTCTGAGGAATTCATTTGGTATTCATTGTGATTGATTGATCTTCTCTTACCATGGTGGTATAACTCACTACCTTTCTTGTGTATTTACTTTCCTAGTGTAGCTAAGCTCTTTAGTGTAACTAGTTTTGAGAGCTAGCTTGTGTCTTGTCTAGTTTGGTTAGTGAGGCTCTTTAGTTAGTCTTTGAGAGCTCACTAACTAGTGGTAGTGACCTAGCCTTGTGTGTGACATAAAGACTATAGAAACTAGAATTATGGATAGGTGGCTTGCATTTTTAGTAGGCTAGCGCAAAACTTGCTTTGCCTCATATTTATCTAACCACTTGGCTTTAAGTGTTGTTTGTAGAAATTTTTATAGGCTATTCACCCTCCTCTAGCCATTAGAACCTTTCAAGTGGTATCAGAGCTGTGGTCACCGTGATTTGAGGCTTAACAACCTTCGATGTCAAAATAGCTCAAATCAACAACACCAAGAAGCTACCCCAATTTGATGGCTCAAATTATCCTTATTAGAAGGCAAAGATGACCACCTATATCAAGTCAATCAATAGAAATGTGTGGACGGTGCTAGAGACCAAGATTGAGGTAGCAAATTCGGAAGCTCTCTCCACGGCCGAAGAGGTGTTGCTCCAAAACAATGATATTGCTCTTAGTGCTATTCATGATGCCGTAGATGAGAGAATATTTGAACAAATCAAGAACATTGAGATGGCTTATGAGGCATAGAAGAAGTTGGATGAATCATCTGAGGGCACTCAAGCGGTGAAGGGCGCCAAAGCATATATCCTCAAGGAGAAGTTTGCTAGCTTTAAGATGAAGGAAGATAAGAGTATACCAGAGATGTTCCATAGGCTACAAGTACTTGTCAATGATCTCAAAGCACTTGGTGAAGAAGGAAAGGACAATGACTTCTTTCATAAGTTCTTGAGATGCTTGCCATTAAGATTTAGCACATTGGTCACTTTTCTAGTGAGGAGTGGTTTGAACACCATGACACCAAACCATGTGTTGAGAGATGTGATGACCGATGATACATATAGAGATGATGATAAGAAATAGGAGAAGAACAAGGAGAAAAAAGATGACAAGAAGGATGAGAAGAACAAGAGTGTGGCATTCAAAGCCACATCATCATCCAAGGGCAAGGCAAAGCAAGAAACATCAAGTGAAGATGAAGACTCAAGCTTTGATGAGATTGATGATGAGAAGATGGCTCTCTTTGTGAAGAGATTTGGCAAATTCATAATGAAGAAGGTCTATCGGGCTATAAGGAAGAAGTCATTATCAAGGAACAAGGATGAATCAAGGAGGTGCTTTAAGTGTGGTAGCAAGGATCATCTTGTTGCTCAATGCACCTACAATAGTGAGAATGAACATGATGACAAGAAGAGCAAGAAGGAGAAGGAGAAGAAGGACAAGATGATCTTCGAGAAGAAGAAGAAGGGTGGTTCATATGTGATCACTTGGGATATCAATGTTTCCTCAAGTGATGATGATGATGATGATGATAGTGATGATGACAAGACCACAAAAAAGAAGGCTCTTGCAAGTATTGCCATAAATGAGAAGCCTTCTCTCTTCGACACTCCATCAACTTGCTTTATGGCTAAGACCACTAAGGTATAATCTCATGATGATGGATGTGAAAGTGAAAGTGATAGTGATGATGATGGTGAACCAACTAAAGATGAACTATTTGACATGCTTGAAGATGCTAAAACTCACTTTGACATCAAGAGAAGGAAATGCAAAGACTTGGTAAGAAATTAAAAGCTCTTAAGCAAGCCTTTGATGAGCTCAATGCATCCCATGAGAGGCTAGAGGATGCCCATGAGAAGCTTGGCAAGGCTCACACTAAGCTTGAGAAAGCTCATTCCACTCTTGTTGAGTAAAAAGAAAAAGTAATTGAAAAATGTGACATAGGCTTAACTTGTGATATATATAATTGTTGAATCTTTCTATAAGCCTATTGTTGTTGCTCCCACTAACCCTTCTTATAGCATTTATACTTCTACCTCATCTAGTAGTGATGGTTTCACTTGTGATGCCTCACTATTGGTTGAGAATAAACCCTCAAGGAGGTAAATGAGCTCACTCGCATCTTAGGCAATGCCGATGGTGGTAAGGCCCGCTTGCTAAAGTGCTTGGGTAGCCAAAGATTTTCTCTCAACAAAGAGAGATTGGGCTATACCCCTAAGAAAGGTAAGGCAGCCTTTACAACTCACAAGACTA